ATTCTGGATTCTCTGGTTGAAAATGATGGTTTATTTGAATCTACCCCCCTTCAAATCAGGAAGCCTTTATATTTATGTTGACAAATGTTAATGTTGAAGCAGAGAAGCCAGTCCGTCCTACTTTATTCCTCCCCCTGGAGAACAATTTGCTTACAGTTAGAGTCTATTGGCAGGTTTCAATTGTTTTTAAACTTTGAGTTACTTGGGATGAGGCCCTGCCAGGCTGTCTCCACAGTGCCTTTCCTGGTTGTCCAAGGAGAATGACCACTGAAGTGCCCATCACCGTATCTCCAGTGAAGCCATCTGTGGTAGGCATAATAATGACTCTGAAAAATGTCCATGTTCAAATCTGTGGAACCTGTGACAATGTTACCTTTCATGGCAAAGAGAGACTTTCGCCTTGAGACGCAGAGATTGTCCAAGTGTGCCCAATCGAATCATGTGCATTTTTAAAAGCTGACAGTATTTCTCAACTGTTGTCAGTGATAAGAGGACAGAAGAAAGGCGGGGACATGCAATTTGTCACCTTTGAAGACAGTGGCAGGGGCCATGAGCCGAGGAACGCAGTCCCCTCTGTCCTCTGGAAAAGGTAAGGAAATGGATTCTCCTCTAGAACCTCCAGCCAAGAAAGAGTAGCCTTGTCAACATCTTGATTTCAGTTCCCTGAGACCTGTGTCAGACTTCTGACTTACAGAACTGTATGATGGTAACTCGGTGTTGTTTTCAACCACTGTACTCGTGGTAATTTGTTATGGAGGCAGGAGGACACCAATACTGCATCCAGGAAGCCACACGACTGTCCCTCGGCCACCCGGGTTGTGAGACAGGCTGCCGGTGCACACCTGCCCGAGTCCAGAGTAGCATTATTCCGCAGAAAACATGTGGTTGGACTGCGTCACTGTCCTTCTCTCGGGTAGATTGGAGTATCTCCAAACAACCAAAGGCATATCCAAGGATATGTATCATAAATTTCAGAATGGTTACTCTGGGATACAGCAAGATCCAAAAGGGTTTTTTGAATCATCAACTTAAAAATAAGATCTTCAACATTGTTTTGATTTAGCATATACAGTTTTGTTATTACATTTTCATTATTTTAAAACTTTCAATCCATCAAGGCCCAGAGCAAATGTTAGTGATCTATTGCTGCGGAGCCAGCCGTGACAGTGCCCCAGGGGTCCGGTTCAGCCAAAGGCCGTAGGTACTTACAACGTAAAACAGAGACACTCTTGGTGGCTTCCCACGTCTCTTCCCCCGGGCTGGTCACAGCTTAACTCAGGGCCTGCCTTTGCGTAAAGTTGACCTCACTCTAAAATGAGTCCACTCTTCACTCACTTTCTTTCCCTAAAATCAAATCAGCTAGTTCCTCCAAGTGCTTATCTTTCGTAGGTAGCAAAACATCAGATGAAAGAAATTCACTCTAATGCTAAAGGCCTTCGCCATGCGGTACAAGGTCTGGTGAAGCAAGTACAACTGCAGTGAAGGGACCAAGCAGAACACTTTGAAAGGGGTGTATTTACTGCAAGACCCTTAGTTCCAGTATGCAATGTTTTCAAAATATTTTTCATTGTGAGTTCTGTATTTATTTATATGATAGTTTACATTCAATATTATTTTGTACCAGTTTCTTGCCTACAGCTTGGTGGTCAGACAATCACACACACCCCTAAGTGCTCCGCCTGTTTTCCCAGCACCTGCCTGGCACCATACATAGTCACCACGACATCACTGACTATGTCCCTCATGCTATACTTTACATCCACGTGTCTATTATGTAGCTATCTATTTGTACTTCTTAATCCCTTCACCTTTCTCACCCAGTCCCCCAACCTCCCTCCTCTCGCTGTCATTGGTTGTTCTCTCTATCTATGAGACTGTTTCTGCCTTGTTTGTTTGTTTATTCTGTTCTTTAGATCCCACATGTAAGTGAAATCATATAGTCTGCGTATTTTTCTGGCTGACATTTCACTTATCATAAAACCCTCTAGGTTCATTCATGCTGTCACAAATGGTAAGATGTCATCTTTTTTATGGCTGAATAATATTCCGCTATATATATATGTACCACAGACATTTTATCCACTGGCCTATTGATGGCCACTTGGGTTGCTTCCATATCTTAGCCATTGTAAATAACATTTCAGTGAACAGAGGGGTGTATATATTCTTTGAATTATTGTTTTGGGTTTCTTCAGATAAATACTCAGAACTAGAATAGCTGGGTCATATAAGGCATTTCCATTTTTAATTTTTTGAGGGGCCTATGTTTTTTAATTTTTTGAGTGACTATGTTTTTCATAGTCACAGGGCAATCCTGAAGCATTGAGTATCTTCTAATGTTCACAATATGGCACCGAAGTTTAAAGTCAAAGACCCCGGAGACAGACAAAGCTTACTGAGTTCAGGTTTTGTCATTTAGTAGCTGTGGCTGAGCTTCTGTTTCCACATCTGCGAAACAAAGAGAATAACAATGATATCTCTTAGGTTTATTGTGAGGTCTAAGTGAAATAACACATGCCAACTGCTTAACACAGTGCCTGGCACAAAGGAAAGACTAACTGTACCAACCCTCCAACCTGCCCTGCCTGTGAACAGACACCAGGAAAACAACAGCTCACTTTGCAAATTAGTTCACTCACATGTACCTAGAATTCCCAAACGCACTTCATCATCCACAACAATAAAACTCATCTAAATTCTTGTGTAAGTATGAGTATTAACTTAATTCTTTAGAATTCTCACAGTTCACTGGGGAAGAAATGCAAAGAAGAAAACGTAAAACTAATTTGTGGAAGTTTTTCTCTTTAATCTTAATACACTAAAGAAATAAATGGAGATAACTGAGGAAAGATTATCTTTAAAAAACATTCCACGGTAGTCCAAAAAAGGAGTATAAATCTTGGACTATATCTCTACATCTTCTGCAGGAATTCGGACTTTGCTCAGGATACGTTTGTTACTGCTATAAAGCAGAGCCATGGGGCTAAGTGGAGGCGAGGATGTTGAGATTGATTGGTGAAAGTTATTAGGTGCCAGTAACTATTAATGGTCACATTCTGAGGACTTAAAAATAGAAACCAAGGTTTATTTTAGAATTAAAGAAAATATAAGACTATAACCTCAACTTAAGATAAAGTAAAATAATCCCCAAACAGCTCCCTTAGTATTTGGGGAAAGAAGAATTGAGATATTTTTTATATAAATCCAGCAGGTGTGGCTCAGTGGTTGAGCATCAACCCATGCACCAAGAGGTCCCCAGTTCCATTCCTGGTCAGGACACGTGCCCGGTATGTGGGCCCGATCCCCAGTGGGGGGCATGCAGGATGAGGCCAATGGATGGTCTCGCTCATTGATGTTTCTCTCTCTCTCTCCTTCTCCCTTTTCTCCCTCTAAAATCAATAAAGGAAAAAAAAATTTTTTTTTTTAAAGTTAAACTTAAGAGAAAAGCCTTCTTATAATAAAAGCATGTTTCCTCTTAAGAGATACTGTTCAGAACTGATTACCCTCCTTCACAGGATGCAACAATAGGTATGACTGACAAGCACTCCGAAAGCTTCATTCTTCTAGATGATGAGCAACTGTTCCTTCCGGGACCTGATTTCAATGAGTTACTGTATTTTAAAGTGCTGTCATGCTGATTGGAAAGAAGTAGAAATGTTAGCTCCTTGTGTCTGAAATTCCAGCAGGGATTCCATGTCTGAATATTAGGTATAACTTAACAATACAATTTTCAGAAATTTTTGGAACTATGGAGAAATGGATTCAAGTCACCTCAATTAAATATTTATGAGAAAGTTATAGAACATCAGAACAGGGCTTTCTATATTCATGCTTACTTTACCTTCTTGTCAACGTGAATAGATATTTACTATTGTAAATAGTGAATTGAGTATTTGACTAGCATGTAAAATTTAAATGCAATACAATTATTTTTATTGTTAATACTTGGAGCAGAAATTGAGTAAATACCCCTGGTGGCATAACAAGATCAACCTAACTCTTTGATATACTAAAGGGAAGATGTGAACATGTATAAATTTAAAGTGAATCAATCCTTCCTAGGATAAAGAAGTCTACAAATATCACAAATTAGGCAAGTCTAGTCTGAACAGAAAGGTGTTTTCTTTCTTTCTAGGCGTAACACAAATTACTTAGCATAGTGTTTAGCTCATGACAGGTGCTCAATAAATCTCAACTATATTATCAATTAGAAAGGATATTTGATTTTGAGTTACAAAGATCTAAAAATAAGTAGCTTAACAATACATGAACTTTTCTCTCATGTACAATGGAGTTCAGAGGTAGGTTGTTCATGGTTGGCATATTGACTTTTTTATATTACCAATATCTTAGAATACTTCGATTTTCTGCTTTGCTATTCTTAGCAGAAGCTTATATCCTTGGAACCAACTCATGCTCACAACATGGCTGCCATGATCCTACCTACTATGTATAGGTACAAGAAGGGAAAATACTAGATGTGCAAAATGGTGAAGGCCAGCTGAATCCATGCCATTAAAGAAAAAACAGAAAAGCAAAAAACAACAACAAAACCCTTCCAGAGTCCAAACCAACAACTTACGCTCATATATCATTGTCCTGAATGCAGTCCCATGCCTTCCCTTTTCTTTAAAGTAAGATAAAAAAAAAATGTATTTTCATTGAATGCATTACCAAACATAACAAAAATGAAATTACGAAATAAGTAAAATTGGATTTGGATAGGCAACTAGCAGTCTTTTCCACTGTTATTATTATGATTATAATGATTGGGAGGCCCACAAATAAATGAGTCCTTATTTTGTGGTTTGTTTCTCTGTGACTATAATATTTTCCTTTCAGCGATGTGCTGGAGCGAGCTTATACTGGTTTTCAAGAGCCAGCTGATAAAATGTCAAGAATTTTGCATGCTGGTAATTAAGTCAGCTATTATTAAATTAATCATTTTACTATAACTTACAATTATGTATTTTCCTGAGTCTATGCACATCCACTGATCCATGTGCTGGAAGTGGTATGCACTGGAGACCTGTGTACAGGTGCCCTGCCATGCACTGGAGACCTGTGTACAGGTGTGCTGCCATGCACTGGAGACCTATGTACAGGTGTGCTGCCATGCACTGGAGACCTGTGTACAGGTGCCCTGCCATGCACTGGAGACCTGTGTACAGGTGCCCTGCCATGCACTGGAGACCTGTGTACAGGTGCGCTGCCATGCACTGGAGACCTGTGTACAGGTGCCCTGCCATCCACTGGAGACCTGTGTACAGGTGCACTGCCATGCACTGGAGACCTATGTACAGGTGTGCTGCCATGCACTGGAGACCTGTGTACAGGTGCCCTGCCATCCACTGGAGACCTGTGTACAGGTGCACTGCCATGCACTGGAGACCTGTGTACAGGTGCCCTGCCATGCACTGGAGACCTGTGTACAGGTGCCCTGCCATGCACTGGAGACCTGTGTACAGGTGCCCTGCCATGCACTGGAGACCTGTGTACAGGTGCGCTGCCATGCACTGGAGACCTGTGTACAGGTGCCCTGCCATCCACTGGAGACCTGTGTACAGGTGCACTGCCATGCACTGGAGACCTGTGTACAGGTGCCCTGCCATCCACTGGAGACCTGTGTACAGGTGCACTGCCATGCACTGGAGACCTATGTACAGGTGCACTGCCATGCATCTTCCCATTTAGAATTTAGTGACATCACATCCGTAGCATAAACCCAGTCATGGAGGAGAATATTTTACATCATGAAAGTTGACAAATACTAAAATGTGGCCCCTTTTCCTGGAAAGTAGGTTATAAATATTGATTAGCACACTTCTGTCTTATATGAACAAAAATCATTTTAATAGTTGCTCACCAGTATAGAGATCAGGGTAGGGACAAATTTAATGTTTCACTATAATCACATCCAGAAGGTTAACCAGTGAACACATTACAAGAGGGAGGGAATCCTTCTTCTGAACCCTCATGAAACCACCAGCAAGGCCAGACAGATACTTCAGCTCTGAACTAGAGAAAACAACTTTTTTTGTAACTAATCTCTAGGAGAGATAGGCAAGAAAAGGAATGGCTACATGTTTTCCCCAAGGACTAATACATTCATTGATGTCCCTTTGAGCTTGGAACGCTCATCAGAAAAGCAAAGAGGCCCTTAAAAAAATTCTGCCTCACTCATTGTCACTCTAAAAGGTCAGAAAGTGAGACATTTTGGGTAAATAAAGATGCACTGTGAAACAGAAAATCAATGAGAAAATGCAGTGGGAACCAATTGAAAGGGCAATGTACAACTCTTTTTCTCTACCTAGTATTTAAATCGACCTTATTAAACTTAAGCTAATTTTGTTTTTCCACATTGAGTGCTTTTTCTTTTGCTCTCTACAGTTCTGTGTACACCTTCTGCCCCGTTGTCTGGAGTATGAGGCGGTGCCCGAGAGAATACAGGAGAAAGCAGTGTGGCAGCTGGTCCTCTGGCAGGCCTGCGGGAAGCGAGCGCTCTTCATTCAGGGGGGTGTGATTTAGCACAACCTTCATCAAAGTCGTCATGTTTTAGCTTTCTGAGTTTCAGCAAGTTATTTGCTCTCTCTGTGCCTTGGATCCTCCTCCTCCTCCCCCCCCCCCGCCTTTTTTTTTTTTTTTTTATCCTCACCCGAGGACATTTTTCCATTTTTTTGTACAGACAGAGTGGGAGGGAGAGAGAGGAAGAGAGAGAGAGAGAAACATCGATGTGAAAGGGACACATCGAGTGGCTGCCACCCGCATGACCAACCAGGGCCGGGGACAAACTGCAACCGAGGTACGCGCCCTTAGGGGGAACCGAACCCGGGTCTCTCCGGACTGCAGGCCGACGCTCTAACCGCTGAGCAAAACTGGCCAGGGCCCCCCTGCCTATTTAATGGCCAAAATAAGAAGGTCATTTTGAGAAAGAACTAAAGAAGATCAACTATATAAGATAGTTTACACAGTACCCGGCACATGGAAAAGATAGTAAATGATAGCTATGTTAAGATTTCAACCTTGCTGATGGTTTTTCAGTTTCTGTATTTTAAACACATTTATGTACTTGCATTCTAAAAACTAATCATTAATGAAAGAGGGCAGGAAGTTTTAATATATTATCATAAGACACTGCTATTTGATAATTACTGTACATTGCTCTCAAAATATTTGTTTCTCAGACATAGCTTGAAAGTAGCGTCAAAACCATGCTGAAATATCAGAACAAGGAGATCCATACTGTTGCTCTATCTCTGGGAATGTTTGGCCCGCAGACTACATACTATCTGATGAACACCTGAATGGAAAAAATCACATTTCACAGTTTGCCAAATATTTTATATGAGTATTGGGGAGTGTATCCTCTAGACAAAAAAGAAAAGAAAAAAAAAAGAAATAGGCAGTGTGTTTATGAAATCATATTGTCATTTAATTTAAAATTAAAAGTTAGTGAAATCCTTTAGTAATATGGAGAGAAGGCTTGGCTTCTAGAGCATTCTAATTTATTCTTTTACAATGAGAAATATGACTAATTACAAATAGACCAAAACAACAGACTTCACTGATCACTGTATTTCTTTCTGGAAGAAAGATTTATATTTGAAGTCTAATTCTAACAAAATGTTCAGCTTGCAAACTGTATCTTATGAACCCAAGAATTTGGGTGGTTTTTAGCCACATGTCAACCTTCTTTGTAAAGCATATATGCTGCCTTTCCGTGACTATCCATAGAGCTGAGACCCACAGATCAATTTTAACTGTTGGATTTTTTTTTTTTTGCTGTTTTACTATTGGACTTTAGTTAAAAATTGTTTCTTTTGTACATGTTAATGATATTTACTTTGTCACAGGTCAGACATGTTAATATCCTCAGATATTTCTCATCATTACTCTGAGATCTAAATGGATTTTTTAAACTCATCTTTATTGTTGAATGTATTATACAAGCCCCCCCCCCTTTTCCTCACTGACTCCCTCCTCCCTAATCTTGCCCCCCTCCTGCCTTCCCCACACTATTGTCAGTGTCCATTAGTTATGCATACATGCAAAGAAGCTCTTTGGTTTATCTTATCACGACCTACCTCTCCCCTTCCCTTTGAGGTTCATCAGTCTAACAACCAATTTATACTTCATAATTCCTTCATCTTTTCCACCCATCCCCCCAGCTCCCACCCATCTGGCAAGCAACAAAAAGTTATCTGTATCTATGAGTCTGTTTCTGTTCTGCTTGCTCATTTTGTTTGTAGATTCAATTGTTGATGGATATGTATTTATTGCCATGTTATTGCTCATATTTTTGTCCTTCTTCTTCAAGAAGACCTGTCAACATTTCATATAATACTGTTTTGGTGGTGATAAACTCTTTTAGCTTTTTCTTGTCTAAGAAACTCTTGATATGTCCATCAATTCTAAATGATAGCTTTGCAGGATAGAGTAATCTGAATTGTAGGTCATTGCTTTTCATCACCTTGGATATCTCTTGTCACTCCTTTCTAGCCTGCAAAGTTTCTTTTGAGAAATCAGCAGACAGTCTTTTGGGAGCTTCTTTGTAGGTAAAGAACTACTTTTCTCTTGCTGCTTTTAAGATTCTTTTTGTCTTTAGCCTTTGGCATTTTGATGATGATGTGTCTTGGTGTGGATTTCTTTGGGTTCAACTTCTTTGGGACTCTTTGTGCTTCCTGGACTTGTATGTCTGTTTCCTTCACCAAGTTAGGGAAGTTTTCTGTCATTATTGTTTCAAATAGGTTTTCAATTTTTTGTTCTCTCTCTTTTCCTTCTGGCACTCCTATGATGCAAATGTTGGCATGCTTGAAATTGTCCGAGGCTCCTTACACTATCCTCATTTTTTGGATTCTTTTTTTCTCTTTGCTCTTCTGATTAGGTGTTTTTTGCTTCTTCATATTCCAAATCGAAGGTTTGCTTCTTGGCTTTACCTTCTCTACTATTGATTGCCTGTAAATTATTCTTTATTTCAGTTAGTGCATCCTTTATTTCTGACTGGTCCTTTTTTATGTTGTTGATGTTCTCACTAAGTTCCTTGGAGGTCTCCTTAAGTTCCTTGAAGGTCTCACCAAGTTCCTTGAATGTCTAACCAAGTTCTTTGAGCAACCATATAATTAGTGTTTTGAACTCTGCATGTGATTCACTGCATATCTTCATTTTGTTTAATTCTTTTCCTGGAGTTTTGTTCTTTTCCTTCATTTGGGACATGTTTCTTTGTGCCCTCATTTTGGCTGCTTCCTTGTGATTGTTTCTATGTATTACATAGAGTTGCTATGTCTCCTGGGCTTCGTAGGGTGGCCTATTGTTGTAGGTGTCCTGTAGGATCCAGTAGCCCAGCCTCCCTGATCACCCCAGCTGGACCTCAAGGTGCACCCTTAGTGTGGGCTGTACACTCTTCTGTTGTAATTGAGTCTTGACTGCTGTTGGCACATCAATGAGAGGTATTTACTCGGGCTGATCAGCTGCAAGGACTGGCTGTGCCCACTGACCCCTGGCCTCTGATACCCTTGAAGGATCAACTGTGTAGGGGCCCATCACACAGAGCAAGACTTACTTCATCAGGGCTCTGTTACCCACTGAGTCTGCTCATTGAGTGTGTCACTTGTGGAGGTGGTTGGGTGGTGGTGTTTTGAAGTGGTCTGAAGTTGTCCTCTGAGTGTGTTGGCTCTGGGGCAAGGGCAGCCACTGCCTGTGTTCTATCTGGGGCCACTGGCATAAGCTACAAAGTGATCAGCAGATGGCTGCTTCTTGTGCTGGGCTTGGAAGTGCCCAAGAAAAGCCAAGCTGTGAACCAAGGCTGGCTGCTTCTAGTGCCAGGCCTGGGGCCACTTAATGAGAGGTACGGGGCTCACTAAGACTAGATGCTTGTTTGAGAGATTTGAGGAAACTCTGAAGCAGGATCCAAGACAGGCCAATCTTATGGTAAAGACTTTGGAAACAGCTTGAGTGGGCCTGAAAGTTGAGTGGGCAGGGCCTCAGGGAATCACCAGGGTGGGGCCAATAGTGTGAGCCAGGTTGCTGGAGTCCCAGATATGTTGGTCATCTGCTGTCCGGGGAAGGGCTCACCAAAGGAACATCAGCCTCCACCAGCACATCTGTCCAGGAGAAAGCTGCCCCTCCTGCCCTTGTTCCAAGGCCAAACAGCTCAGTGCTTCCCTGTATGTCTCTCGCGCCCCTCAAGCAGCCTCCCCTCTGAGCTTAGAGGGAGCGAGTCTGAGTAAGTCCGTGTGCGGGCCCTTTAAGGAGCTGCCTGGGGCTCCCGCAGCCTCAGCCTCCCTGAGCCTCAGTTCTCACTGGTTTTATAGCCAGAAGTGATGGGGATTCTCTTCCTGGCACTGGAACCCTGAGCGGGGCGCCTGGTGTGGGATGGGGACCCCTCAGTCCTCAGGGAGGACCTTCCCAGCCGAGGTGTCCTCCTGATTTTTATCTGCCACACGTGGGTGTGGGACCAGCCCGTCCCCTCCGCCCTCCTCCCAGTCTCGGTGTGGCTGCTGCTTTAATCCCGTAGCTGTAGGACTGCCATTCAGCTGATGTTAGGGGGTCTGAAGGATGGTTTTCTGTAGTTTAGTTTTAATTTTGATGTGGTGGTGGGATGAGGTGATACCGTGGTTACCTACACACCACCCTGACTAGAAATCTAAATGGATCTTTAATAATCTAAACATTTCTTAGGTATCTGTACTAGGTTACTATTGCTGCATAACAGATGCATACAACT